ACTGGAATTTTGTTTTAGACCTTTCTTTACCAAGTAACAGGATTTCTAAAATGGGCTCTTGAAAGTTTTTCGGTATTTTTCCTATAACTCTCGGTAAAGAAAGGTCTAAAACAAAATTCCAGTTATACCTCTGCGCTATGACCTTGAGTACCTCTGATAAAATTTTTAACTCGATCGGAAGAAATTTAAGGGGGTGGTAATGTGGTCCAATGAAAACACGAGTTTTCCGGAGAACTGGTGAACAACAATAGTTAAAAACTTGAAACAAAAACGAAAAAGTGCTCCATTGAGATTTCACTCAATTCTGAAAATACGAAGCCTTAGTGAGTTTTAGTTTTTATTTCACAACATTTCTACGAAAAGCCCAAAAATGAGGGGACGGGTACTCTTAAATGCCGCTGCAATTACAAACATAGAAGCAAAGTACATACCAACACCTTCATCATTCGATTTAAGTAACTCAGTTAATTTCTGTGTGGCATTTTGTTGCTCGATAATTTCAGCACATATGCGATCATTAACCAATTCACATAGCACACCAGCAGCTGCACGTTGTATAGAAACTGATGGTAAATATAATAACTAAAAAAATCCTCTTGAACTATATTATTCTCTTGATAAAAAGAAGACACGTACTCGAACAAAAAGAGGTATACAATCAAGATCACGTATAATTATTCGGTTTGACGGATCTTTCGCTATAATATGTAAAGCACCAATAGATGCTTCTAATATATCAGAAAAACCTATGTTATTATTATTGCTATCCATTTTTGATGCTTGTCGTTGTAATTCTTGATGTGAACGGATGAGAAGTTGAGCAAGTTTTGGTATAGCATCATTTTCACGTAATGCACTTAAATTATTTGGTGATAAAGCTAAATTTCGGATTAAACTTATTGTCGATTTAATAATAGGCCAACTGTATCTAGATGGATTGAGTAGTTCAACAATAATCGATATACCATTAATATCGCGAACGGTATTCTGTGCATCACTGGCATGCGGATGACGAGATGTTATATGGCGTAAAGCACATATCTAAAACCAGACATTTTTATTTTAAGAGTGGTAAAAATAAAGCTGTGATACTTACAGCAGGTTCGATTATCTCCTCTTTATCCTCAGCTTGAACGATTGTATTAATCAGTGTATTAACACCGTTATATTGAACAACCGCCATTTTGTTGAATTGATTATTGCAAGTTAAATTTGATAAGACACCAACTGCGCAAGAGACAATCACAAAATCAGTCGATGATAGCAATTGAATTAATTTATGAAGTAATGTTTCCATTCCTTCCTGAAAAAAAACCAGATACCGACTTAGAGAAATTTCTTACTTTAATCTATATAAATAGCCAGAAACAGTCAATCACACTCTTCATTTTAGATTTTTCTATCTAAAAAGCTTGTTTTTTTCACATTCGAACAGTTTTCTCTCTTCGCTAAATTTTATCCCAGCAGAATACGTTCATCTTCAAAAGTTATTAACTCACGGTTTTAATAGCTTGATCGGATAAATTTCGTAGAATTTGTAAACAGTTTTGTTGAACACGTACACTAATGGCATTACAGACATATTTTTCGAAAATTTTAATACCATTTTTTTGTATAATTAACCCTTTAATCGATGTACCAACAGATAATACTCTTAGAAGACGTGTTGTTGTCCACAATAATTTTTCATAATCGGTTAATTCCATAATTTGTAATAACTGTGGCGGACCATTACTCGATTCAATAATAAGCTGAAGTAAACATGAAAATCTTGAATAAAATTGATATACGTGTGCAAAGTAAATTTAAAAATAGTAAGCAACGCAAAAAATAAAACTAGATATATTTGCAAATAGTAAGTGGCACTATTTATCAAAACAGATAACTACGACTAATCCGATGAAAAAAATAAAACTCAAATGTGAGACAAAAGACAGTTTAGGATACATCTTTTATGAGTAAATGTCATGCTTCGCAACTATGAAGAAGTCAGCAGAGGTGGGCGGTCGACGAGGATCCTTGCGGACCCCGCCCCGCGAGGAAGACTTTTTGGAAACTTGACGAGGAACGGGGTAATGACGAAGCAAGAACTGCAAGAGGCGAAGCCCGCGGGAGAGCTAAAAACAGTCCATCGCCCACCTCTGGAAGTCAGACAAGATCACATTTATTATCAAGAAATTTCCCCTTTAGCAAGAGAGTTAAAAGCATTTTATTTGCTTTACCTTTACTTCTTGATTGTTAAATGCCAGCATATATAAACAATCTGTTACAATAGCCAAAAATTTTGGATTAGAACTAGTTAATAATGAAACCATTTTATGGCAACCTCCACATCGAAGTATTTCCATTTTAGCTTGTTCGATATATAAAAGAAGACTATGTAATGTTGAGATTGCATAATTAACAACAGTTTCTATCGGTGAACTATAAAATAATAGTAGTAAATAGATTAGTAGATAAAGAAGAGTTACAAGCATTTTGCTTACTCGAGTAATTTCACTAATGCTGGAATTCCTCCTGATTTGAATATACAAAAAAGACCTTGCTTTTGTTGTGCCAGACACTGAAATATTCCGGCAACACCACGTTTTGTTTCAGCATTTGCTTTTGGATTTGAGACGGCATGAATCAGTGCATGAATGAGCTTAAATAACATTTGATAGTACAGAAATGATAGTGAAATAGATAGAAAAAATGAACACTAACCTGTGGATTAGTCAAAGCCAGTCGACTGGCTTCTTTCTTCGCCAAGGTATGTATGACTAATGCTGTTTGTCCAACAACAATCGGATCCTCATCATTGAGTAATCTAATTAATTCAGGTATAGCCTTTTCCGTTATTTCAGCATCTTCTTTATAATTGATTATGTCAACAACAGCATTCTTTAACTGTTGCGACGGTTCAGACAATTTTTGAACAGCTAAAAACAAACAAATAAAAAAGTATTGTTTTTTTAGTAGAAACCAATCGCAAACTTTCTCTTCTTACCTGTAGGTAAACCGGTTATATATTGTGTCGAAGGAGGAATATCCATCGCTGGATCTTCTAACGTCTCGGGAAACATGGCAGCACGTATGCGTTGTGCACGTGTTGAACTTAACTGTTGATTCATATTATCAATTTGTTCTTGTGTATAGTCTATTGATGATCCTGGTTGTTGATCAAAATTCATTCCACCACGATATGAGGTTGCAGTCGAATGTATATCAGAATCATGGTAATGATTATTTTGATTATGCATCCACATGGCTGTTTGATCTTTTTGACTCATTTGAGACGTGTATGGCTGATACTCCATAAACTAAAATAATCTAAAAACATCATAATAAAAACCAAGCACAATTAAACCAATCACAAACAAAAACTATGAAATAAAATGCACTGTTTCATTCAAAAAAAGCGTCGATTAAAGCGAGAGATCCTAGCAGAGGTGCAGAATCTACCCGTACGAATGTACGACTTCCCCCGCTGGAAATATTTCTAAAACATTTCCCACTAGTGTCAGAATATTTTTTTCTCCCGTTATTTTTTAATAAAAATTCTATTTTACTAAAACTTATCTGGAAAATTGTCCCGAATCAAAGACTTCTCCCGACGAAAGTCGTAGCAAACAGATATGTTCTTCACCTCTGGATACTAGATACAAAATAGTTGTTTGCACTAAAACTAAGGCTATCATGCTACACTCGTCTTAAGGACGTGCATTGGACAAAAGTTAAGTCATACTTAAGTGATATTTTTTCACGTCATGTAAGTGTGAAAAAAGTTAAAGCACCAATACTGTAGAAAAACTTTTTTCTTTCTTTCGGTGCTCATAATTACTTCAATCATGCGTTTAGTTTCAAAATGTTTTCAAAGCAGTATTAGCCTGGCATACCTTGTCGAGTTAAGGATAACGATTAATCTCATGCGTATAAGATGAGCAAAGCATCTTTACATAGCTGTTGTACAGAATTAGAAAAATAGCTTTGAGAGGAAAACGCCAAATAGGATTGATGGCTTAAGTTAGTAGTATGAACGCTTCTTCTCCTTATCACAGACTCAGGTTAGGTCCCACTTTCGGTCGGATTGTCCCGCATTTTGTAAAAAATTCCATTTGAATATTTGCCTCCGTGTGGGACACATTTTTTAAGAGTTTGTTGACTTTTTGCTGAGACCAATACTTCTGTTGCCAGTAATTTATAATCATAGAAAAAACCAGCCAATGAACGATGAGCATATACTATTATTTTTTGTTTCTTGTTTTCTCTTTCTCGTGCATATTGTGCGACATCGTTTCTACCCTTCTGAAAATCCTGCCAGATTGTTTGAATAAATCCCTTTGAGCTTCCTTGCTGATGGAACCGCTAACTTTACTTTAAAAATGTCCTATTTTCGAAACTTTTGATCTTACATCCCTGATTTAATTGAAAAGAAATGTGGTGTAAATACGGCCTAAAAGTGATTCAGAACAACGGAAGAAAAACTAGTACTACTTGACATTGTAAATAAGTATTTTCTCTGAGTTATGGAAAGAGGTTAGTTCGTTAGTATCACAGCTTCAGATAAGCGTACTTAATTTCTATTATATGGTTAATTAATCAATTGACCTTATGGAATGTTCTATTCTGTTTATAACGCTTTTAGCTAAAGCAACAGTCATTTTCATCATCCAAAAGCCGTATTGATTCTATTGGATATTAATTAATAACAAAGAATTTTGTACTGATTACAGAAACATAATTATGTATTCGTTAAAAACGGTACCAGCAGCCTTTCCTTTTATGAAAACACCACTCATTTTCATCGGTATACCGGACAGATAATCATCAAAGATGTCACTAAAGCTCGACAGCTGTACAAGAGTAGCCCAGAAATCCTACCTGTCTCATCTAGTATTTTCTTAATATCTCGGTGAAGATTGATCGCCAAGTCTCAATATTTTTCTAAAAAGAAACCTCATTCAATTCTCTACACAAAACATATTGAACATTTCTCTATATACTATAAGAAAAAAAAATATAGAGGAAATACGGAAAAGCTTCAGTATCGATTACTTTCAAACCTTCAATTTTTCTGTTTCTGGTTTTCAATTTCAGTCTCTTATATTTTGCGATATGAAAAAAGAGAAAATGGCCATTTTGTAGTTCTCAAAAAGCTCTATCAACTGACTATATTTAAGATTCTTCTTAGGCTCAAGTGGTTGCAGGTGGATTTATTTTCTTTTAGCGATTTTGCCCAAAATCATCATTTTTTAACCGCAGTTTTGAGGTACTTAGGAAAATTTGGTAATTTGATCCAAATCACATATTATGACTTTAAATCTGGTTTATCTTAAAGCAAAATAATACTTCTGTTACATCCAAACAGAGAAAGGCGAATAGCCCCATTTCGTTTCTTGTACCAAGGCGAAGAAATCAAATTTTCCCTTTTTACTTACTTTTAGTAAGGTCTTCCTTCGTGGCAGAAAAAAAGATTTGTAACGAATTTATGATACAAGAAAAGAAAGCTGACATTTTGAAGCACCAGAAAATACATTTCGATCCCAGTTTGATGCATAACATCGTGTTCAAACTAAATATTTTTTGGTTTCGCTTTGGGTTTGAAAGTAATCGATACTGAAGCTTTCCCGTATTTCTACTATTTTTTTTACTATATAAAGAAATGTTCAATATGTTCTGTGTAGAGAATTAAATGAGGTTTCTTTTTAAAATATTGAGACTTGGCGATAAACCTTGACCGAGATACTGAGAAAATACTGAATGAGACAGGACTTCTGGACTACCCTTTATTTAGTACTATGCAGACAGGAGAATTTCGTGTGCTAAATTTATTATTTTCTAGTAAATAACCCATGTGGTATTAATTGCTTAAAAATCGGCGACTTTTACATGACTTGGCGTTCGATTGTTAGGATACTTTGTCGCGATTAGTCGACGATCCTTTTGTGACTTTTTAGCTACTTTTGGCGATTAGTTGCGACTAATCGGACGATTTCTTTTTACAGAAAGAAGACATTAGGATCGAATCCGCGTATGAGAAATTTCTTATTTTGTTGTTTTATCCGTGTTTTGCACTTTAATGACTTTCTTATGATAGTACCGACTACTCGGACCCTCTTCATCCGATTAATCGGCTTGAGATACTGCCCAGACTTCGATTTGTTCATCGGACCCCTCGATTCAAAAGCTGCCCCTCATCGAAAGAACGAATCAGCTCTGAGGATATCACGAAGAACACTCTAGATGCGCCTTCCAATAAAATTTATCTAAAAGAAAAGATTACATGATAACTCAACTTTTAAGCAATAAAAACATCATATTTGGAATCAGGATTAAAAACTGAGTCGACCAATGTGTGTGCCGATGTGTATCTCTATCCTATCCGAGCACTTTAATTGTTTTCGAATTTTCATGTTAAAAATTACCGACATTTTTACCCAAAACTGAAAATTAATTAAAAATTTCGAAATACACATGGATCGACTCAGTTTTTGATCCTGATTCCAAATATGAAGTTTTTATTACTCAAAAGTTGAGTTATCATGGAGAAAATTGAGAATTACGAGCCGAATTACGAGTTTTTCGCTCTGATTTAGAAAAAATGAATTTTCTCAGCGAAAAAAAAAAATTTAAAAAATTCACACCTATACTTTTGAAGAGGAACAAACAGCGGATCCGGCCATGTAAAAATATTGGCTCCTCTGGAAAAACCTGAGATAGGCCGGTTTTTGAGCCCTATGTGTTTCAGGCGCTGTTAAAAACCCGGTTTTCGGTTTGAAAATTTGCAACTTACTTTTTTAGATTCAGTTTTTGATGCTGAATTGATATATCTTCACATAAAGCTTCGTTTATTAGATAAAATAAACAAAAAGCACAAGGGAATGAGAAGAAACCAAGCAACAAAGTATGAGCTATTGAAATATTATATTATATATAAATACTGACACGCATTGCTTGTACGTTTCATAGTTTTTTTCGGCTCAGCCTTAACTGAGATCACTATTGTTTCACTCACTCTCATTTTGCGCTTCCCGCCCTGTGATGTTTCTTTGATGTTAATTTGTATGTTACACATTTTATCAAAAAAGTGATCTCAATTAACCAGCCTCGTTTTTTCCATTTTGATATGTAAATCGTTCTTTGCAATATCTTTATGAAGTACGTAAAGATAATTTCTGTTTTGTTAGCATTTAATAGATTTGTAGATTGAACAAGAAGTGCAGAACAGTTTTTAGTTCTAATTTTATTACCAATATAATTATTGATTTCTCGTTTATTTAATACTGCAGGCCTATCAGTTTTCTGTCGTGGTTCTAACAAATTAATGCTATTTATTTCCACTATTTATAACAATAACGTAAGAAAAATAATGAGAATAGTATGTTCAAAAATGGAGCAAGAACAATGACAAAACTTCACACTTTATTATTTTTTCATGAATCTACGATTTTTTTAGAGTGTGGTAACCAAGTTTCGCTAGTGGAGAATGTTGAGATTCATTGTAATGACAAATAACGATTAAAAAAACAATTGGAAAAGTTCATGAAATAGAGTTCTCTTTATACTACTAATTTAACATCCTAATTAGGGGTGGGACAGTTCGAGTTCCTAAGAACTATAGTAACTGGACACTAGTTCAATTCCTGTTGAACGAGAACTGGTTACCAGTTCTTTTCAAAAAAACGAGACCTGCGACTAGTTCTTTTCAAAAGAATGGGGACTGGTTAACAGTTTTTTTCAAGAATTCAAAATAAGATAAAACCGATGTAGCTAGTTATATTGACCTGGTTTAGTCAACTAAACACACCATCTACCTCTGCCGCTCACTGTATAAGTAGGTTCACCGGTTTTATTTCAATTTTAATTTTTTGAAAAGAACTGAACTGGAACTGTTCCACCCCTAATTCTAATTCCACAGATTAAGAATTTTTGATTAGCTTCTTAAAACACTACATTTCTTAATGAAAAAAATTTCTCACAAAAAGATTCTTTCAAACAGTTATGTTGCATATGAAGTGTTCCAGAAGTTCTGAGGAAAATGTAAAATAAATTTTGCTATTGTTATAAAGCTATGAAAGTGCCTTATATTCTATTGTATCTATAGACTAGCTCACGCTGTACAAAACCCATCTTGCATCGTGTTTATTGATCTCACATTAAGGCAGTTTTAACAAAAAGAAAACTATACATCACCAAACGAAAAACGACTACTTATATATTATTTTTTACATTGCCCATTATGTCTACCTTAAAAGCTGTTAAACAAAATTTTAGAGCACACGTTTACAAATAAAACATTTTACTTCCAACGATAAACTTCTTCAAAGTGCAAATTTTTAAAATGCTAAAAACTACCGTTAACTAACAAGAAAAGTGTTGTTATATTCCTCATTGTTTCGATGCACTACTATCGACGCCATAAAGCAATGTATCTAGTTAGTTTTGAATAACTTTTGATAGGGAGCAGAGCTGTGACTTTTATCATTATATAGCCAAGACCTTAAGCCATGTTTTCATAGTCAAAAATTCGTTTCAGAAAAATTTTGAAGACCTAGTTTTCAGAGGATCTTTGGGAAACCGTTTGGAATTTCTGAAAACTGGCATGGTAATCTATTAATTTTGTTTCATAGATAGATAGTTTGTATGTAACTTTACAATTCTACACAAGTCTCAAGTCTTTAACTCTAATGGTCCTGGAGACACAGAGATTCTCCGACAACCATCCTATCTTGCAGCGGACACGTCGGGGAAACTTAAAAACACTTGATGCATAGACAATCGACTGTGGTAATCATCGTGGCAATGTTTATTTTCTTCCTCAGATTACAGAATCTTCACTTGAGCCATTTGGTAGAAAACCTACTTTTTTGCCTGTATCTTTGTAAAATTAAGAATCTTATAACTGACTTATTTCCGATGCAAAATAAGTAAAACTTTCAGAAAACGTTCAACACCATTCACAGATTATGGTTCATGAAAAATTGGCTTTGTGTCATAGATCGGTAGAGGGATTTCCAGAGACCTACTTAAAAGCCTCAGAGCTAAAGTATCGTTCAAGGACATTTTTTCAACTAACAATAAAAAAATTTATTTTACACTTTCCTCAGAGCTTCTGGAACACCATTTATAGCTGATATTTAAGACCCTTATTTCATCAGTCTGAAGTAAAATCGCATATTTATTCAAAACACCTACATAAATTATAATAACCACGTATAACCATCCATCGTTAATTATGACGTAACATATAGTTGTACTTTCATACAGGAATTATAAAGACAAAAAGGACGAGAACATTTTGTTTCAAAAAAGTTCTAAATTGGTCTTCATAAGTTTTGTTTATTTTCATCAAATGATTGTTATTTACAGCAACATTAGATATGTCTAGATAAACCAAAGTTTTGTCCGCCCTGATTCGCACCTTTATTCATGCCATCGTTTAGAAGACCAACAATACCAGCTCCAGCACGTAATTGTTCTTCGGTAAACTGTCGTTCATTTTTCTCCAACATCTTAACACCCAATGTTGGGCCAGAGAAACCTTTCTTTTGTGCCTAAATTAAGAATGATGAATTATTCAACTTTCTCTTACATTTTTGATGACATATAATTTACCTGTCGTCCGAGTGCATGAATAGCTAATGTTACTTGAGGGATGTTACGTTTTTCAAATAAATCAACTGTTTGAAAAAGTTCCGCATCGGGTACTCCATAGGATCGAGCAGCATTTTCTAAATTATTAGAAAAAAAACTATAAAGTTGAAAAATGTTTAAGGCAGTATTCTATAGTGAACTTACGGAAAGCTGCTACATTCTCTCGTAATTTGAAAGCACCACCAGCTGTCGCTATTTTAGGAACCGAATTTGGTGATAACTTATTGATCAATCTTAATTATAAACAAGAGCAGAATACGAGAAGATATGCAAGCTTTTTTGACCATATATAACATTCAACATACTTGCATAGTATAATACCGTCCTTTAGCGCATCTTCATAGGCGCCCTTCGGAAATTTTTCACCTATAACAGCCTCTATCCATTCTTGAGCTTCTTTATCAAGATCGGTGCTTCTTTTAGCAGCCATCTAAACAAAAACGAAATAATTTGGCATTAAATCATATTACCTTCTTATAACGTGTTCTAAGTCTTTTTATCTACACCATATATAATAGACCGAAATTCACGTTTATAAAACAGTTTTATAGAAAAACACAGAGTGAGTATATAATTGACTCTAGAATTGATTTATATTTTGTGGATTAGTGTACAAATGATAATAAAAGAAAACGTTTTCTTTTTGTACTTTATACAAGAACATACTATAGTCTTTTCTATTAATCATGTTTTCTCCATTGTACACTTTTTGGGAATGGAATGCTGGAATGATGAATATCTCTATTCACGGGCAATAATTCGCATCCCTTCTTCTTGTTTAAATTAATATGTGTAGATATTTTCTTTTCATAGAAGTATAGCTTTCGTTTACACAAGAAATTTTTAATGATGTTGATGGTTATGATCACAGTAACAATAATCATATCTCTTTTGTTTTGTTAAGATCAACAAATTATAATGTGAACGATGTCCAAAACTGTTTCTTTATTATTATGTCATGTAGAAAAACACATGTTTTTTCTCCTCACTAAAGCCATTAACCTTTCTAGTTTTAGAGCCTGTTCACTTCTTAAAGTAGATAGATCATCTAGGATACGCACCTTTCCTTGGTTTTCAGCTAACGAGCCATACGCGGGACCATAGTTAGACATAATTCTTTTACAAGTAAGAATCGTTTGAGGCAAGAACTTTTCTTTATGACGAATTATGAGACGGTAGAAGAACGAATAAACACAGGAACTGATGACAATCAGTGAATACTTTGTGTTTTCCTTAAGTTATCTGCCACACAGAATAGTGAAGTCTATTTTAAGCATTACAAGAAAAATTCTTCCTAAAGAATCATATCCACAATGTCAGCAGAAATATAAACATCTGTCTTTTTAAGAAATAGGAATTGGCATAGAGATAATATACAAATACATCGAACGGAAGAAAAGTAATTTTTCCTATCCTATATTTTTTCTAAGTGGGCGTGCGGACACATATTTTCATGCAAGAAATTCTTGTGTGACATACATAGCTGCAGACAAAAACAGTATGTACAAAAAAAAATCGTATGTTCTTCTTAACTCGGACAATGTCTTTTGTGACTCATATAACGTTTTATGAGTTACTCTACTTTTCCATGAGAGATAGAAGTTCACGATTGTATACACATGATTGACAAGTCTTCTGTTTTCATAGTGCCAGTATATCGTGTTATCTCATGCTTTAACGCAAACTTAAGTTTGACAAGACTAGCAGGCTAATCGAAACTTGATTTTGTACTGATCTGTAGACTTCTTCAGTTCACAGTCTTGGCGAATCTTAATGTTTGAGTAGAATGTTCATAGTTACTCAAACCAACAAATCTTATGGAAAGATCTTGCGAAACCTTGTAAAATCACAGTTCAAGAAGTCATAAGACTTTGCAAGATGGTATAGAAGATATATGGTATGAGTATGCAACAGTCATGTTTAACTATGACTGCAAAACTGTAGCACTGTATAACTGTTACATTTAATAACCGAAACTGCTCACAACTGTCGATAAAAATTTATATATAAAACCAAAGTATTTCTTTGTTGAATTCATAGATACGAAAAGAAGTTACTTTTAACGTGATACGCCAGTTGTATTTCAGTTTTTCTTCAAATATACTAGTATTTCTTATCTAACAGTTTTTAACTGCATACCTCCACAACTTGTGCATACCTAGTACACAACTTTCATAAGACCTTAGAGATTTCACTGGAATAGATTTCCCTGAGGATATCACAAGATCTTTTTGATGCATAGCTAGTGATAAGAACTTGAATGAATATGCAATAATTCACAAGATTGCATAAAACTAGATCATAAAATCTTATCTAAGAATTCAAGATCATTCCTCTGATCTATTGCTACCGGTCCTTCTATAACTCACATATTTTTACTTTCTATAGTACATCATATTTTATCATATGAGAAATTTTTTCATGAATCTTTTTACTCAGAAGTTTGTTTTTCGGAACTTTGCTACTGCTGAGGACAAGTGGCGCGAGAAATGAGAGTGAAGACGCCAAAATGAAAGTCAACCCTTCTTTAACATTCCGCATAGCATAAAAAAATGTATTCAGAATTTACACTGTAGCGAAAAAAGATTTGTTATAAAAACTCCATTTCAAGAAAGGACGGGAGCTCATAAGAGGATAAATCGATCCACTAAGAATAGTTTTGCAGAAAATAATTGTGTATCTTATAATCAAACGTTTTCGAAATTAAAAAACTAATACAACAAAGAAATATTCACACTTCAGGTCCATTTTATCTAATAGCCCATCACGTTTAACAATTTGACTACAATTTTTTTTCTACCACGATCCAGTATTTTTAATAATATGATTGAATAGATAAATAAAACTGTTTAAAAAAGAATTTGATCGATACCTACTACGCTGATACGTTGATTGTTGTTCGTTTATAAGCCCTTTTCCGACTGACTTTCCTTTCGAAAATGAGTAGAGATCAATATTTTCAATTTTCTGGTGTAAAGGAGTTGTCACATTAGAAGACCCGCGTTTTCTAATCTGTCCTGACTATTAAAGATTTTAGAGGGGTCTTGTGCCGTGTCCCAAAAAAAATTTTCACCCAAAATATCGTTTTTTAGCAGTATAATTGACGTTCTTTTCTAAAAATATCTTAGAAACAGGGAATCTTTTATTTCAACTTTTACATGACGAGGCTGATGAGGGTCTTCTGTTTGGGGATGGACTCCTAATGTGACAATCCCTTTAGTAGAGATGAGGCCAACATACTAAGCCCAATATACCCTTAGGTAGCCCTTCTTCAGGGCTACAATTCTGCGTGCTATTCGGTCTCTCTGGGTTTGAGCCAAATCTAAACAATGTTCAAAAAATTTGAACAGGAAACCAAATTTTCACCGTACTAAAAGCATTTCTAAGCCAAACAAGTGTTATATACGTAATCTTCAAGCAAAACTGCATCAGAAAATGTCATTCTCAGCGATTTACAAATACTTTACTATTTCGCAAAAATTGCACTCGCTGTAATCTAGGAGGATTTATGGAAGTGTTTGTAAGTGGTTGAAAATGGAAATTAATCACATTACTTTTCAAACAGTTTTATTTATCTATTCAATCATATTATTAAAAATACTGGATCGTGGTAGAAAAAAAGTTGTAGTGATGGGCTATTAGATAAAATGGACCTGAAGTGTGAATATTTCTTTGTTGTATTAGTTTTTTAATTTCGAAAATGCTCGATTATAAGATACACAATTATTTTCTGCAAAACTATTCTTAGTGAATCGATTTATAAGCTCCCGTTCTTTATGGGAAATAGTAAAAACATAGGTTCGCTCGATTACTTGAAAATTGCGATCTGTACTTTTTAGCTACAATGTGACAGAACAAGTACAATGTTCTGTTGTACTCATGAAAAGCTCAATAGCAAAATATGGGTACAACGGATCACTCCTAGAATGTTAGGTTTCTCAATGGGTTCTTCCAATTTAAAAAGGGAGTAAAAAGAAATTCCATCGTCTCCATTATAGCAAAAAACTAGTTTTGACCCTGTGAATGAATCAAAGGTGTTTTGAAAGGTCTCACATCTTGGCCTAAGCCAAAATTTTAAGTTTTGTTTCTCAATTTTTGTGCGAAAGTTCTCTTTATGAAACTTAAAAAAAATAAGCTTTGGTTTTTTCCTCTTTAACTGGGGTCACGATATAGATGTTGAACATGGGTGAACCCCACAGATTTCTATCTGTCACTAAAAAATATATTAGTGCATCGATTAGGAAAATGAGTTTTCTTTTTTTGTATAGATTAAAAATCAGATGTTTAGTTACTACCAATTTAATATATAGCCTAAGCTACAGATTTCACATCGTAACCAGGCCTAATAGCACTGATGGGCTTAAAACTGTTTTTTGAAAGTTAAAAGTTGAGAAAATTTCTAAAATGTTGATACAGTTAAAATCCTAGTTATACCGCAGATATAACTATGAACCACAGTTATAACTATCAACTCGGGTTGAACAATATAACTGCGGTTGAACGAGTTATAACTCTAAATGGGTAGAGTAATAACCATTCCAACTCCAGTTATAACTGCATCAGTTTTAGTAATGACTTTAAAATTATGAAAGCTCATTTCAGTTTGTATTATGGCACAGTTATAACTAAAGTTGAAATAGTCATAACTCTCTCCACTGCAGTTATATCAATCAACGCGAATTTATAGTTATAACTGTAGTTCATAGTTATAACTATTGTAAATTTCTGACTAAAAGTTAAATTAGTTATAACTAATTTCAACTGCAACTAGTTACAACTCAGATAGTTTTAAACCCATCAATGCCTAATATACATATTAGATTCAGACCGAAAGGGTATGGCTTGGTGCTTATGCTTTTGGTCATGCACTTCAAAGGTACTGTGTTCAAAACTCGCCTTTGACAAATTATACAATAGCCTTGGACAAATTATTTTTTTCGTAATGCCTCGGATTATTGCTTTGTCATATACAAGATCAGAAGCTTATTAACTCTGTGGAAAAGATCGGGCTATCGAAACTGACATTTATCAGCATCCTACACCGATAGCGATAGCCACAAGGCGGGATATTCTTTCTTCTTCCTTCCTTAAGTTACACAGCTATATCTGTAAGACCTTATAATCAGAGAATAAATTTATTTCATAAAGTGTGGCATAAGATTTGGCATAATTATACAAGACTGTATCTAAACGTATGAACTGCAAGTGTACGTCTGGTAATGTATCATCTCTCATATACTTGAAATACTGTTCATTTGGGATTGCTTTATTACTGAATGATACTAGAAAGATTATAGAAATAATTCCAAAGAAAAATCTACTGTGATTGATATCCTCATCCTAATTCTAAAGTGTCTTTATATAATACTTAATCATTATTGTACATAGATTCTTTGATTCATTATCAGTAAAATGAAAATATCGAGTTTGATTAATAGATAGACGTACTAATTATGTTTTTAGAGAATGGAACCATATGTACAAATATGTTGTTAATATTCATGCATCTATACAATTAAAAACAATACGTGATTATATGCAAGTACCCACAACTCAATTACCTTTCTCTTAAGCTCAATATCCATTCCATAGATTGGCATTGTTCTATATAGAAAATCAATAATCTCAAATAACTCCGTATATTAAAAACACTTTTGTCTATCTTTCTATGCCGATATGTTTTATACTTCACCCATTAAATGTTATGATGCTATGAATAATAGACTGATAGAGTAATTGAAAATAATAAAATCGTCATGTTACGAATAATTATTCGTTAAAACATCGATAGTTATTTATTCATTTACAGATTTTAGGACAAATAAACACATCAATCTCCGCTTTTTCATTAAACCTATCGTGGGTTTAGACAAACAAGTAATATGACAAACAAGCAATATGAGAAGAAAAAAGACAATTGTATTAATTAGAGTACGGTGTATGGGTCAGTTTAATAGACAAAAACAAAATAAGAGCGAAGAAGCGCTCGATGGTGCCAATCAATAATATTATTGCGCCTTCTTTAATCTATATGTAATCTTCTTATCTTAATAAAAAGAAAATATACATGGGATGTGCACAAAATCAGTGCATTCAATATTCTCTTTTGCTTCTTACAATAATAAAATATTTTTCATCTGCTATAACTATTTTTTTACAATTTACATATACAAAATTTCGATCTGTCTAATATGCGTGACACTGTTGATCATAAAATAAAACTTTTATTATATTACACCATAAACTGAACAGCATGACTCTATAAATATAATATTTTTGTATTGCAAGAAATATAATGACAAATTGTTTTCTATTTGAGAAAACAGTTATTGTCAATTGAATTTCATGATATATTTCATATTGAGAATAGAGACTTTTTTTTTATTGAATTTTTAATGCACTGCATTAAACACTAAAATTTCATAAAAGTATGATTATCTGTAGAGATTAAATAGGTTGAGACTGTGTAGAAAAATCACATATAAGCTCGAAAAAATGTTGTGAAACAAAATGATACAGATAGATACAAATATAATATAAAAAAGACTTATAAAAAGACATCTTATCAATGTATAAGCTCGAATGAATTCAAAACGTTTTTTTTTGTTGAAAAACAAAATAAAATAAGCTCTAAAATTTTACTTAATATGCCTGATAAAACGGGCTATTCTACGTTGATTTTCAAGTAGAGTTTCTTTATTATTCGATGATTTATTTTCACTAACTCGTCGATTTCTTTGAGCAGGCATTGGATTAGTCACTTGATTATTAATTGGCGGTAATGTTCTTAGACGATATTGTCCTTGAGATGATAATGGTCGAGCAACTGAATCTGAGCTACCTTCTCGTGTCAATGTTGGCTCTGATCGTATAAATGTTCCTGTACCATTACCACTGCTAGTTGAATTTCGTGTACGAATTACATTGGTAGGATTTGGAATAGGACCGGAGACACGACGTTCAATATCTCGATAGGCGAGTGGCGGTGAATGTAATGCACGTGAACCGTGACTAACATTGCCATTTAAAACTCCTAAAAGATAATTAATAAAACATATTTAGTATTTTTAATTTATTGTATCGATGAAAGAAAAATATAAATTTTCTTACCATTTTTTTTCAATGTTAATAACTGTTCTCTGGCACTAATGAGCGCATCTTTTAATTCTTCACGTTCTGTACATTCTTTATGAACAGTTTCTTGAAGTGTAATAACCTTAATATAAAAAACAGAATTTTAATATTATGTTATATCAATTAGGATGTTTAAAAATGTACTTCTTCTCTCGCTTGTTCTAAATCACGTTTCATTTCAGCTAGTTGTGATTGTGTATTAAAGAGATTTGTTTCTTTTTGTAATAAATCTTCTTTTAACTTCAAATTATTTGTATTATTCTCTTTATTTAATTCACGATGATCTAAAAAAAATTTATTAAACTTTAATGTAGGTAGTGATATGATCAAAAACTAATTTTTTATTCGCACTTGCTTGTTCATGAAGTTCTTTTAAAACTTTTCGTAATGTATCCAATTCATTTTTCAATGTTATTTTATCATTTTTCAATTGTTCAATTTCATTTTCATAATGTTGACGTTGTTCAATAGTTACTTTTTCAGTCGATATCAATTCATGTTTTAATTTTTGAGTAAAATTACCATTATCATTTTCATATTTTTTTAACAGACCAATATATTTTTGTTTTTCAATATCAAGTTCCTTGAATCAAAATATAAGAATTTGTATAGTATGTGAAAAAGATCTATTCAATTATAAATTACGTAGAAATTTTTTCTATTGATGTCATTAAGTGATATAGAATTCTATTATTATTTGAAGAAACTGGTCCAATGTTTCATCAAGAAGAAAACATTCATACGTAAATTACTTATTAATAATGGGTATTTAGACAGAAAGAAATATAGGTTATTCATCAAAATAAATGATATCTATCTGTAAAATTGACTATATTCTATTCATTTATTATAATGAAGGTTATCTCGAGAATTTATAATAAAATATTGTAGATTGAATTGTAAATTATATAATACGTACAGCTTTAAATCCCTCTTTAAGTGATGTTTCCAAATCTTTCATTTGTGCACAATGTTGTTCTCTTTCACGATTTAATTCAATTTGTAATCGATCAGGCCATTGTTCAGCTTTTTTTAATTTTGAGTGATAACTATTATGAATTTTATTTAATTCTAATTCATGAGCAATAGTTATAGTTTCTCTTAAAGAATTAACAAAAAAATAATAATAATAATAAAATAGTACACTGTATTCAAAGAGTAACACAATATACATACTTTTGTTTTTTGTTCTCAATATTTTCATTATGTAAATATTCTAATTCTTTTCTCAATGTATTTAATTCTGCTGTAAAAATTCAAACAAGACTTATAATATTTTAATTATTTAAGAATATTTTCCGTTCTTTTCATATGATTTACTTACAATTATTATCAATCAATTCCCGATTTAATTCTTCTAAAGAATTATATTTATGTAAAAGTTTTTCGTATTCTTCTCGTGTACGTTCTAAAATAGCATCACGTGCTTTGGCTGTGTCTTCTAATCTATCATAGTTTAAAAGAAGAAGAAGAGAAAAAAAGAAATTTTCATACATAAAATAGTTCAAAATATCACATAAATCCTACTTGTGCTTCATATTGGTATCTAAGTGTTGAAATTTTGTACGTACTGTTTCTATATCATTTTCTAGACTTCTAAAAGAGAAGAAAAAGAATAGAATACATGTAACAAATAAGTAGAACTATATACCGTTTCGTTGTATTTAACTGTTCACATTCTGTACTCAATTGTACTAATTTTGTGCGAGTCATTGCTAGTTCAGTTTCAATTTCTGTAATAAAAATAATAAATTATAAATATTCTTAATTGGAAAAAAATTCTTGATTCAATTACTTGTTCGAAGTTCTTTTTCCTCCTTAAATTGTTGTTGATACTGTTCACATATTAAATCGAGATTTCTCTTAATTTCGTCTTTTTCTGTACAATGTTTTTCTAAAGTGGCGTATGATGTCTGTTGTTTAGTTAACGACAGAAATAATTCCTGTTTTTCTTGGTCAGTTTTGTATAAAACTTTTTTCAAATGATTAATCTTATCTTGCCGAACATTTATTTCATTTTTTGCTAATTCTAAATCATTGTTTAATCGATTATTTGACTGTTGTGACTCAATGCGAACATTTTTTAACTCTGCTATAGTATTATCACGCTGACTGAAAAAAAATTAAAAAACCGATAATTGTCTGCAACTCTCATTTTAAATCTTTCGTTTACTTGATTTGTTTTTGAAATGTTTCTAATTGAGTATCGTATTTATCCACTATTTTTTGTATTTCTAAAATACATAGCATCGATAGTGTGAGAAAGGACAAATAAGAAAGAAAGAAAAAGAAGAATACGTGCATCTTGTGAACACTATTATCATTAGAGAGTGCCGAAAAGTCTCTAAGAGACTTGTCTGTTTTAAGTAACATGGGTAAACTGTTCAAGGTTATCACATGCTTAGCTGACTCCCCAGTTCAAACATAGCGAACTATGTAACGAACAACATAATTGTCAAATCATCGTTCTAGAAAGAAGGATTTGTATCAACATGCCTGTATTAAGTGTCGTATTCAACGAATTATATTGTGTTTTCAAATTTGAAATTTGGTTGTAGAACGTCTTTTGTAATGATAAATATTCCTGTTTCAGTGTTTGTATAATAGTATAAGATATTTTCAAATTCGATACAATACTTGAATTTGATTCTCTAGAATAGACTCTGAAATAGAACAATATTTATGAAAATCGATATTAATCATTTACTCGACACGTTGAACAATTAACTGGGTTTTTTGCAATTCAGTTGTCAATAATTGAATTTGATTATTTTTTTCATTGAGTCTAAAAGTGAAAATTTGAACAAAGAAGACATTTGATAGGTTAATCTTACTGTTGATCTTTAACGGCAAGTAATATTTCTAATTCGTTATTTTTTAAACGTTGATTTTGTATTGTTTGTTCCAAAGCTTGTTCACGACTAGTTATACCGGCATAGTAAGCTAATTCTGTTTCTAATTTCTTCAATAAAGTAAAATAGTAATGAGGAATAGAACAAGAAGGAGAAACCATACAAACCTGACATTTTGCTTCTAATGCTTTGATTTCATTATGAATTAAATAACTGACACCACAAAACTGACAAACAGTTTCATTTCGATTCATGTTTTGTATTTCGTCTGGTAATGGAAAACGAGGAGTATAACGTTCGAATTGTTCCATGAGAGATCTTAAGCATTCAATAGAAGAAAAGAAGTTAGATCTGAAATAAATAAAATAGAAGAATCATACTGACTCAGAACAAACGTTGCTTTATTAAAAATAACTCGTAAAGTATCTATAGAGGCTTTCACAAGCCGAAAGAATCCACGAAAGATTTATTCTTTGGAAAAAGAATATATTTTAACATAACGTTAAAAAACGATGAAAATTCGTAATTAATTGAAGTGTGAGAAAGCCAACCCATGTAAATTCACTACGTCTGAAAAGAAAATTTTTATTATCCGACGTTTCGGTCTCTTCATGGAGCCATTATCAAGGAAATTTATAATTGAAATAAAAACTGTACAATAATGGCTGCTGTTGAAAACCCAAAATCTAAAAAATGTTCTATAACTTGTGTACAAAAAAGTACTAATACCGCCCATGCAGACGTTCTACTAGTAAAAAAGACTAGTCGATTTTGACTTTTGGTTGCTAGTCGGAAGTCCAAAACGACTCATCGGAGTGCCATTTCAGGACTAATCATCGACTAGTCGGTAACTAGTCAGAACAATCTAGTTAGAGCAGACTGACCGCAATGGCATGTTTCGACTGTATACTAGTCGAGTGCCGAAAAGTCAAAAACGACTAGTCCTAGTCGGATTTGATGCAGCCAGTCAAACTGGGAATTCGAGACACTTTCTGAAGTATCTATCTCAAGATCGGCGTCCCATTCAAGGATCAGTCCGAACTTCGACTCTCACTCAGAACAAGGTTCGATGACCTATTCAATCGAGTAAGAAGAAAATTTCGCTGTCTTTTAATAATCGGTGATGAAACAATCCGTAGTTTATATAAAGTAGTACAAACAGGAAAAGAAAAAGGTGAATGAGTGATTTTATGATTTTGACTAGTCGAAAAAACAGTGATCAGTCGATGTTGATCCGTTCGATTAGTTAAGAATTCCGACTACATACCGACTGATCGGCCAAAATTTCGACATTTCCGCCTTGTCTATGTACTACTTGATTCTGATTTTACGTCCACTTCGACAGTATTAAAAATAAGTGTTACGTTCACTACAGGATGAATCGCATGCTTGAGACATTGTAAGTTGAACCACTTTTATATTTTTAGCGATAACTGTGGACTCTATATTGTGATGGCAGCAAGACCTGCGACAAAGGTATTTCTGATTAAACAACCACAATCTTTCATATAGTTATCCACATATTGATATTTTATTGTTAGAGTCAAATGCGCTGATTGCGATAACTTTCCATATTGATAAATAACAGGTCAACATTTCACACTTGCGTACGATCTCCATTCTCAAGAGCTTGGAGTCCTTACGGACAAATTCTTTCACTTTTCTCCTTTCTCATCCCCTCTATAATATATGGATCACCCCAAGAAGCACTCTTCTAGTATTATATGTTTCCGCTTTTCTCTCTGTTTTTACTTCTGTCCATTCTCCTCTGTATATACAGGCATGTAATCGGATATTTTAAATTCAGTCTTGTAGTATTTGCTGTGAATGAAGAAAAATAAAAGTGGTCAGAAACGCATTTAGGATAGTTGCCCACACTGCGACAGATTCTGTCCAAACGTAAACTTGGTTTAGATCTTGGTATATTCAGGATATTTCGCGCATTATGAGTAATCAAGAATGAACCACCTTGTCTTTAGCATTGTCTTCTGTAGGTGTTCGCCTTTCACATTAAGTTCGAGTCGTGGAGATAGTAAGACGCGTTCATAATGATAGATTTCTGATCTCATGAGTCTTCTTGAATAAAACTAATCTAATAAAACGCTTCGCCATTTGAGCAGACAAACAGCAAGACGAGGACTTTAATTCGTGCTACACCATTGATATTTTTTAGAGCTCAATGAGGAGGAATTGTTATGAATCCAAAATGCTACTAATTTAATAATACTCCTGTAATAATAAATATAAACGCACGTCATGCAGTTCAAAGTTGTTAAAACGTAAAATAGGTACCATTTTCTACGAACTTTCTATTTAGACACAATAAAAAACGAGCAGATAAAGTGATTAAGATTCAAAAGTGTATTTTACAATATTAATTGCCTCAATTTGCTGGTAATCTGGATTGTTGATGAAATATAATTTGACAGCTTGATAAACCATTATGAACGTTTTTTCATTCATGTTGCTAAGTGACAGTGATATTCAATTTTTGCAGATTTCAATTCGATCTAAGTGTGAAAAGGTTTTATTCAGACAGCAGCATTCTGAAGTCATCTTCTTTCTGGAACTATGTATCCGTTAGCCAGCAATTTATATGGAGGATATGTCGACGTTTGTCATTGGTTCACATATGACTCATCGGGTCCATAATCCAAGTCTTCTTCTTACAAATTCTGCAGAAGACTCACAATTTCTCCTAACATCCATAAATCATATAAGTACTCGTTTTTTCGCTTTGTAGTAGAGTTACTACATCGCATAGTTGAGAATCGTATATGTGTTCTTTCTTTCAGTTTTCACCTCCTTGCTCCCTCTCGTGCAATTATCTTGCTCCTTTTTCGCGTTTTTACTGACCATGATTATTTTAAATACGGAAGTACCCTTCCGCTTTCTGCAGACTGACTGCATTACGTTTACTCTACGAGTCATAGTAAGTAAAAAGATTATTTTAATTATTTCTCATTATCCAGTGTACGCTTTTCTAGTAATTTTGTAAATCCAGTTCTACGGTGTGGGAATGTATTATCCATTACTAGGGATGAGCGGTAACGGTAAAATATTTTTTCACCGAAGTTTACCGCGGTAAAGATTTGAAGTTATTACCAAAGCATCGGTAACCGCTCATCCCTATCCGTTACACACTATAGAAATATTTCACAGCAAAAATGTGGAAAAGAGGCGAAGAAAATGTATCGTCAAGACTTCAAACCCATATCTACATGAAAGAGCTGCAGTTCCTCCGTAGAAATTCTACGTCCATTAGTGAAAAGCCACATTTTTAGTGTGGAATTATCTCCTAATTGGTTTTCATGTTTTACTTAGCGTAGAGAGAAGTGTTGCACTTTCACATCTTTAGAATAGAACTGTTATCAGTACCAGTACAATCATCATAAGACTAAACTAATATTTACGAATCACAAACCGATAGTACTTGGCATACACCATCAATATAACATACGCGTTAGTATCTGGACCTCGAACTAAGTGACTCCCAGGTCTACTCACCATGAGCATTCTAAAATGCCTCCGTATTTCCTATACACTGTGAAGTCCCGTAGATTGGTAACAGCCAAACATAACAGTTAACAGTTGTTAAAAACATTTTTGGAGTTTCCGGTAAAATCTTTGACGTTTTTCCACAAACCATTTTTTGCCAAAAATTTAGAAAAATGTTTTTCGCCAGCCACTTTCCGGAAAGAAATTTTTTTAGCTCCTCCCATCCCTGCGAACAATAGGAAACCCTGTATCAGTCGCCAAGATATAAAAGCTGGATGTTTCACACTTTAAGTGTGACATGTCTACCGAGTGGGAGACGATGTTTTTGTCGTGGAATGTTGACATTCAATCTGCGCCTCTTCAGGACAGTGTGTCCTGTATGTCTAAAGATAAATGTAATGATATTGTTGATTTGATGCATAGAACAAACTTTGTAGAGTTTTTGATGGATCTGTAATGTATACGACATTTTTGGTGTCTTATTCATCTAAATTCAAACACTTCGCGAATCGATCATTGCAGGTTTGAAGAATCGAACAACAATATTAATGTTGAAACTGCATGTCACTTTTGATCGCTTCCGTACTAAGCAATTCCAACGTCAGACCTGCAGTTGTCCAATCAAGAATCGTGCACATCCATTCATTTTATTTCATCTTGAATAAGCTATTATTTTGTCTATATGTGACTTGCTCAAAGAAAACTTATTATATGGATGAACTTTTGCCAGTCATCCTGTAACTTTTGGGCATCTCTTGAAGTTTTACTACCTTGAACCATATTGCAAATTATCTTGTGTGAGAAAACCGCTACTCTTTGTGAAAACTTTTATAGTTATTTTATTCTAACGCGAAGGGTTATAACATTTTTTGCACTAGCTCCTCTTGTTCTCTCGAAAATGAAGAATTGAGCTTCAATAAAAATAGTCCCGAGTCGGTCGCATGTATGCAAACTTACGTCGATTAGACTCAAAACACAAAATCTTCAGTCCGAATCTCCAGATGCAAGCTCGAATCTGGATAAACTATTCGCAAATCACTTACTCACGCTGTGAAGCTAGTTTACAGAGAATTTCTCTAAGACAAAGATATCAGCTACTCATTAATAAAATTTTGCATATCTATTAGGAATCGCTTGATGAGCCAAAGATAAATTAATTAAAGCATATTTGTGTATGAACTATTGTAGTGTTCTACAAACAATTTTCGGGAGTATCCTTAGCTATACATTTCCTGAGTTCAGTTTGATTTACTATTAACTGACAGAGCTAGGAAAGTCAGAAGTTTTGCAAGTCACAAGTTAAGTCGAGGTCAGAAACTTTTTTCTTCCAAGTCAAGTCACGCCTCGAAATTTTTTCCTCCAAATCAAGCCAAGTCTGGTTAAAATTAGGTAGAACATAAAATTTGCTAGCACCTTTTTGGGTCAGAGAGTTTTTATAGCTTTACAAACTCACTTCCATGGTAGAAAAAGTCTAATTTAAACGAGAATCTCTTACTAGGAATGACTTGACTTGAAAAAAATTTCTCAAGTCAAGTCATATCCTCAGAAAATTTTGGATCAAGTCAAGTCACAGCCCAAAAAGTTTTGGACCAAGTCAAGTCAAGTCAGACTTGACTTGGGCTTGAGGCATTTTTGACTTGACTTGCCCAGCTCTGGTAACTGATATCAACGTGTGAAAGTAATGTTATCATATCTAAAGCTAAAATAGATTATGAGCGATCGATTCTTTTTCTAAGATCGCTAAATATGACTGATTTTCATTTTTTTGATGATAAATTTGCTGCTAAAATCATGTAATATATTGAATATCCTCTAGAGAGATGGAAGAATAAAATTGTTGTGTGTGTAGCTCATCTTTTTGCAATATACATTATAATTTTCTTTTGATTTAGTTTATTGAACAGTAGTTCATTGAGGCATATAATATTATTTTATGAATAATCATTTATGTTGTACTAACACGTATCGAATAGACAGACAAGGCATTTTTGATTTCCATTCAAACATATATATTTGTGAGAAGTAAACTTCAAAATATAATCATTTCATTTGAGTTTAGCTTATGAATCTGAGCACCAAAGGCAGCATGTTTTCTCGAATCAATTTAAAAGTTTATGATACTTTTTTTAACGATAAGTTTATTTGCTTGAAAAGTTAAAATTCCTAACCTCAATTTCGTGCTGTAAATTGGGACTGTTTAAACTGTCACATTGTTCGATAATGATTCATTTCTAATTTGAAATGTACCATTTTCTATATTCTTAAACTAGCATTTTTTTTTATTTCTCAACATGTACATACAAACAACAGCGGAATGAATGCTCTGTAATAAACAGAATCACGCTTTTTTTCTCTTCTTAATGTATTTAAGAACTGTGTATAGATTTATTTTTGTATACACGTGAAAATTGTGTGCATCGGGCCATCTTCATCATCTATAAAGCGCGTCTTATATAAAAAACACTTTTTGTGTTGTTTACTTTCTTCTACTTTTCTCTCTTTTCCTCTCAATTTTGTATCTTTTTCTCTGCCAAATAATGCACCCATTTATAATGCGGTAGGTAATGCGTATATACACAAAAACATATGGCAATATATATATATTTAGTTAGTATAGTAATACTATTGTTTGCTAGTCAATACTATAGATAAAATATATATGAGTTCTCTCGACGACAGTCCATCGACGAATTCTGATTTTTCATTCAAAGGTATAGAAAGAAATAGATAGAGAGAAATAGATGACTAAGAAATTATTCAATAGGAAAAGAATTCTTAACTTTAAAAGGCATACCACTAAATTGGGTAGGCATATCATAAAACAGTAATAATTTCATTATTTCATTAAGATAATAATTTAAGAAAAGCTTTACTCTCTAAACTGTGTATCATGATAAAAATTTGATATTTTGTTTGCTTTCAAGTAAGCAGATAGGGCTTCATTAGTTGTTTCTTTAATCGACTAACAAAGTGTTTTTATTGTCATTCAGAGTACTCTCATGAGACAATTATGTCGAACTTATTCCCATTTATAGGCTCATATCTGCCATTTATAGGTTCATAGGCCGAACGGCTCATATGCTCTCTTAGTATCATTCAGAAAGAAACTGTGTTCTAGAAACCTGTCATTGCCTTTTAACATAATAACGCTTTACGACTAGTTTGTAGAGTACAAAGTCATATATGTTTACAAATTGTTAAAACTAGCAATCAAATTTTGAAGAGTCATGGGACTTCAGAAATATTGTTACGGCGAAAGGTAGTGATAGGTCTCCAAAGTCCTAATTTTACATGGTGATGTAAACATAGCATATGAACTATGAAATTCGTAATTAGCGTTGAGAACTACCTCCAAAAAAACTCTTATCAAAAACGTGAAGAAACTCTGCCACGTGACTCTTTTCCTAGCTAAAAACTAATTATACGATCGCAACCGACACTATGGGAAATTTTGTTTTGCTTTGTTTAAAACTACCTGCATATGCATGTTTTAATTGCTAAGATTGATTATCGTGAATCAATCAACTGGAAAGTTTTTGACATCGATAGAAAAAGAAAGTCAGAAGAGATCTTTTTTTATTACAATGCACGTTTTTGTATTCTGTGCGTAAGTGATGTACTTTTATCTACAACCTTTATCTGTCACTCCTGTATATATAGATATATAGAAGTTTTTTCAATATCTACTTTTATTTTCTCCAACGTGAGTAACCGTTCAACGTACATGTCAAACTTAGTCTTTTCAACTGAAGACACGTATGCATACAGCGCATTCGTGATTCATTCCTGTTGGCTTTGCGCTGGCAAAAAAGTTACATAACATCACGTTAGAAAACGTGTGAAGAAGAATAAAATAAATAAAACGAAAATTTGTATCTATCGTTTCATTTATTACTTACTTACACTTTAGTGAACAAAGGAGCGAGTGGAAGTATTAAGACCTATAGTGCGTGCTACCAACTTTCAGCTAACTGTTTCTTTTAGTCATAGGTCAAGTGATAATTAATTTTTTAGATTATTCATCGCATTTACTTGCATCATTCTTTATTGAAGTTGTTTAAACAATAAAACAATGGACAATCGTTATACAGAAGCCGATTCGACAACTTCGGAATGGAATAGTCCACCATCTACTTATAATAGCAATACAGAGTCTAATTTGAATACTGCTATTGACAACAAGTACGTTTTTGTTTTTTACTTCCACCTCTTTGCGTATTCTCATTCACACTTTGACTATTTTAGTTTACAACATTCATCTAATAGTTTGAATCGTGAAGATGGTTATGATAATTTAACAAAAGATAGTTATACTACCCGTGAATATAAAATTGAGGAACATCCGCATACTAGTAGTTATAGTTCCGAATATCAAAAACATGAAAATAATATCACGACGAGCAACAGTGATAATCATCCATCATCAACAACACAAAAACGGTTCGAATCAAGAAATCATCTTCCAACATCTAGTAATATTGCAAATGGTAATAGTTCAGTTACACCCATGGAATTAAAAAAAACAGAACAATTTGGTAAACAACATGCTGAGGATATTATTACAAAAGCAAAAAGAGTTTTACGTCATCAATGTAAGTATGACTCAGATATGGAAGAGAGAAAACGATGATTAATCTGAAAAGTAGTTTGCATATAATCTTCACGAAATATGAACATTTTAAAGTTTAGACTTAGGTCAATATTCTTTTCTATAACGAGAATACTCGTAGGTGGAGGGAAAAATGAAAAACTTTTTCTTTTCAATTAACCATGCTTTCATTAGTCAAACTCTCTAAAGGATTCAGATCTTATTAGTTTCTATTACGAAATATTTTACGATATAGTTTTAGTTCTCTGTACGTCAACTCTTGCTTAGACAGTATAAAACTTGTATATTAACTATAAGTGGAAAAAGTTAGACAAATCCATATTGTTTAGTCATTAGTCTATTTTCTTCCAAAATATATTGAACAGAACATAATTAGGAAAAATTTTTCATAAAAGATGGAGATCATTTTTTCTTTTACATCTTATATACATTATGGACAGAGAAAGTATTTTATCTCTTATTTGAAGATCATTTTTTGGAAATGCTTTTTTCTCTCTTCCAATCAAATAATCTCTGCTACACGACAAAAGTATTAATGAATGACACATGACTAAGTATACGTGCTGTAAATATTTAAAATCTTATTTTTCTTCTAACTAGAATAATAAAAAGAGTATAATTTAACTTTATGCCCATTTTCATGTAATACAGATCTTTTTATGTAAAAAATTAAAAATTATGTGAGTATTTTCATCTCTTTTTATATCTATGGATCACTGAGAATAGGAAGAGCAAGAAGAGAAAATAGATCACATTGTGGTTTTTCCCTGGATTTTTTTTTTCTTCGTCAGAATATAGTGAAAATAATGAAATTAGCTTCTCTTGCGTCCACATTATCATTAAGTGAATGAAGGACAATTATTATTTTTTCTCTGTATAGAATAAAAAAAAAACTGCCTATTTATCATATATATATATAAATTCTTCTGACGTCGATAGTTAAAAAGAGAAGCGACGATGTTCCAAAAATAAGAACAAAGAAAAAATAAAGAGAGAAATACTAGTTTTTCTTTTGTGATGATGAATCGATAGATATACATACTACAAATTAAACTCATCAAATAAAGAGAAAATTTATTGCTTTTCTTGCTGTTTTATGACTTGACAGGCAATGAACGCAGGTATATATTAAAAAAATTTATCTAAGATCATTTATGAAATAAAATATCTAATTCTTTTTGTTTTGAGCAAATTATAATTTAATGATGTTTATGTAAAACAAAGAGATAAGGAGAACAGTAGTTATTATGATATCATAGGTCAATTAATCATTTTCTAACAAATATAATTCCTTGATCTTATAGTCCTATTTGATTAAGATTACAAAAAGGCATTCATAATCGGCACTCAAAAAGTAAAGACTTGTACGGATTGAGAAAATGAAACCTGAAGCTGATTCTACTCGTCACAATGTATCCCGAACTGATTAGAAAAAACTTTTTTTTGTTGAAAAATGAATACTTACCTTAGACAAAACTTTTTCTATATACATTGTAGCATCTCCTTTTTCTCACACTTTTTTTATTTTCTATTTGATATAGTGTTCGAATGTGTTATGTAAGCTTCAATTTAAATCAATTTAAATTTTTTGTTGATTTTTAGTCGAACGGACTCAACAAAGTGTTCAACAAGTACATAAAAAAGCCGTTTCAATGGTACCACCAGAGGGTAAGCACCTTTTTTTAGCCAAATATGTTCATTATTAATTATTTGTGTTGACGCTTTTTATTTACAGGAAAAGATCTTGTTTATTGGAAACGACCAATACATACTGGAGTCGTGTTTGGTATATTATTAGCATCCATAATAACATTTATGTTCTTGTCATCGCTTGCTGCCATTTCATTTTGGTTATTAGCATTATTAATAACCATTGGTTTACATAAATTATATAATTATGTTATGAGTACGTTCCTTGGACGTGATACTGAGGATTTATTTGGGTAAGTAATTATTAAACTATTTGTTATGTAAAATTAAGAAAAAAGCCAAGACACTTTTAGTCATAGTAGAAAATATCTGATCCATGAAGAGTTGATATAATAATTAATTATTATAGTATAGAAGATCATTTATTTTCTTTTTTAGTTCATTAGTTCCACTAGATGTAAGCGTTTCTCAAGATACAGCTCGAGCTATTTCGGATTTTGTTCATAAAAATGGTACAAAAACGTTAAAAATGGCACGACATTTGTTTTTATGGGAAAATCTGACTGATTCGGTTATTGTAAGTAAAAAAAATGATCTTGTTTTCTTTTAAAAAAAATCTGTATGTAATATATTTTAGTTCGGCTTCGTTTTATTCATATTTTTCTATATCGGTTTGTCAATGAATGCATTAACACTCGCTTTAGTTGGTACGTAAATTTTTCTATACATTTGTAGTAAATTAACTGAGTTCAAATTTGTTTATTATTTAACAGTCTTGTTGTTCTCGTTCACCGTTCCAAAAATATACCAAGTTTATCAGGTAAGAGAATAGTTATGATGAGGAGTTACACAGTACGATGTGTTTATTATAAATTAAATGACATTTACTTTGATCATTACAGGTTCCAATTGATCGTACTGCAAAAAATATTCTTGATAAAATTAACCAACTGTTAACGAAGTATGTTGTCTATTAAAAATTTTATTATTATTATTTATATTAATTATTTTTCTTTTAGTATTACATCAAAACTACCAAGTAGTGCAAAAGCTAAAAAGCCTTGAAAATAGGATATGAGAACATTCAATCAAAGCGTTTGATTCAATCAAACTCTGTTATCTTCATCTAGCAGACGTTCGTTCTTTTTTTATATTCTTTTTGTTGTTGTTTTTTTTTGTATGATGATGCAAACGAGAAAAAAAGTTGTATTTGAATGATAGTGTGTGTTTTTCGTTTTATATGTTTTTTTGTATAGAAATCCTGAACCTTTTTTTTTTCATCAAAATGTGAACCATTTGCGCCAAAAACAACAAATTTACTACTCTTTTTATACAAATTCTGGTTGTCGTTTCTTTGTTTGTTTGCATATCGATAGCAATCAGTTTATATATTACATGTTTGTTCATGTGTTTGTCTGAGTGCGTTTTGGGTTCTACTTTCTTTTGTCTCCTTTGAATTTTCAACTTAGCATGTTTACTTTAGAAAAGAAAAATATTTTCGTCATAAGCAAGGAAATGTTCAGTTTTTTTTTTCTTTTAAGCTCTTTTTTCTTCTTCTCTTGATTAGTAAAATCTTCTTACATGTATTCGATATATGAACGTAAAAATACTGCTTTGTTCTTGTTTCTTTTCATATTTTTAAAACAATAAATAATCTGACAGAAAAGCTGAAGTGTTGATCACCATTGGTACATGTACGATTAATACCTGAATAAGATTTTTGTCATAATAAGAACGAATTTTTCATCCACCAGAAGTTTATTGTTTTTGAACTATTTAATAAACTACAAAAAACTGACTCAGAATGCTCTCGTTTTTGGATTTGTGGTAGTTGTGTATGACAATTTTAAAAAACTGTCAAAACTTCTCTTTTTTGCGAACCCTTTTGGTGCATGTGATAATATCATTTTCTTTCACACAATTGGTAACAGATATATGATTACGAATTCACTAAACGTTTTGGAAAACTAAAGACGATTGTTTTTCCTCCTCTACATAAATTGCCTTTAATATGAATGCGTAGATTTTGTACATGTAAACAAACATTGTAGGAAAATAGATCGAATAATCGACGCTTTAGAAAAGTAAAGCAGGAAGACACTTGATATCAACCTCTAAAATCTGTAAAAAAACAAATAGATCACTATGTGTTGGTCTATATTAGTCATCGCTGTGTTTTAGATCAGATGGTATCTGTCTTCTCACAAAACGAGAAGATGTTGATTGATGCAGTTTTCTAATTTTTAATAGTTATACAGGTAGAACACGTGCTTTGTAGATTATGATATGAAATGTTCTTCTCTTATTCCAAACCTGCTAATATGATTGTAACTAGTTGGATGATGTTCCATTGAATATCAGAGCTTTTATTATTGAAATATAATCAGCATTGAGAAAAGTAGTTCCAAAAATTCTTTTGTTATCGACCGAAAGCATTACCAGAATGCAAATATTAACTCATGGGCAATGTTATTTAGTTACATCGAGAAAAATATTTATCTATGTCTAGATGTATCGTTATCATCAACGATATTAAATTGTTTCCATCTTAATTTAGATTGTGAGTCATAACTCTGTTGAATGTGTCTGTTATGTAATTGAAAACATAATGTAAATGTTCAATGTATATGCGTCATTCAAAATAGCTGTAATCAACTCGTTCAGTCATTATCTGAATACATTGATGGCTACTTTGTGTTTACATCTTTGTTATAGCAACCCAAAAATCTCATGTAAAAAGGATAAATAATAATCGTTTAATCTATCTCATTCCTTTTGGTCAACATAATGTATCTTTTATTTTTATTTCTGATGTTTTAGCTTTAAAATACAAAAGAGTTAGTCACTTCCTTTCGTTTTTGAGTTTATTTTTTGTAAAAATTTTATGTTTTTATTAGACTAGTGTTTTAATTTCATTTATCGCTGGTTTTTTTGACAGCTTCTTGTTGTAGAGAGACAGTGTTTGTTCTACTAATAACTGAGAAATTGTATTGTTACATTCTTTGTTTTAGAAAATGAAAAATCTCTTAGTAAAACGTCTATCTTTAATATGTTATCGTTCATTTCAAACAACGTGTCCTACATTCACTGTGCCTCCTACTATAACATCACCATCGTTAAACTCAATCACCGATGATGTGGATATTGCTATTGCCGGTGGAGGATTGGTCGGAAGCGCCATGGCACTCGCCCTAGGTAAAAAATGATCAATAATTCTAGTATTTTATTCAACAACTTCTTTCTACTTTTTCTAGCATCATCACCAGCATTTCAAAATCGAAAAATTCTTCTACTTGAATCACAATCAAAGTTACCACAAATTGTCTCAAAAACTCAACCTTATAGTAATCGTGTTTATGCGTTAAGTCCTGGAACAATTGATTTATTTCAAAGTATGTAGAATAGTCAAACATAAAAATAGCATAGTGACTCTATATTTTTATATTTGTTTAGAACTTGGTGCTTTTGAATTAATGAAATCAATTCGAGTTCAAAAAGTAGCACGTATGCAGGTATTGATAAATATTAATTCAAATGTACATTATGTATTGGTAATACTTTTTATTGTTTGAGTTTTTTGGTTTGGGATGCATGTTCAGAATCTCTGATATCATTTGATCAATCATTAAATAATGATCCATTGGCATATATAGTTGAAAATGATGTCATTCAATATGCAATATTAGAACGTTTGAAAGCATTAAATATTCAACCATTATTAAATTCTAAAATAAAACAATTTGAGTATGATAAAGTCAATCAGAATTCGGTACTTTTACATTTTGAAAATCGATCGTCTATTCGAACAAAATTACTGGTGAATTAAAATCCATAAAGATGTATTCTCATGTTTTATTGTGCCTTTTAAATAGATTGCATCTGATGGATATCAATCAACAATAAGAGAATTAGCTAAAATATCGACAATGAAATGGGACTATGATCAGTTTGGTATTGTGGCTACAGTACAACTTGCAGATGATGTATGTATTTGCGTTTGTTGTTTCTTTTTCTTTCTCTGACCTTTTCTGTTTTTTAAGACTTTTGATAACGTTGTGGCGTGGCAAAGATTTTTACCAACAGGACCTATTGCCCTTCTACCGGTATGATTTTCTAATTATTAACAGAGTAATTAAATGAAACTACATCTTTTCATTTTAGTTGAGTAACACTCATAGTTCATTGGTATGGACAGTACCTAAACGATTGCACAAGAAACTAATGAGTTTGCCAGCTGAACAATTTGTTGACGAAATGAATAAAGCATTTGTATGCAAAACCATTCACACCATAATGTATTGATATTAATGTTTTTTCTGTGTAGACTTCTGATGTATATAAACGGCCTGGAGTTATCTCACTCACGGAACGTCTTCGCTCTTATTGGCACCAAGCATTGCCAGGTAAGTTAGCATGAATAGAAAGAAATTCATGAATGATATTTTATTTTTAATTAGAAACAAATTATACGACAATAAGACAACTTCCACCTGTACTCATAAACATTGAACCAAACAGTCGTGCTGCATTTCCCTTATCTCTACTCAATGCAAATCAATATGTTCGCCCACGTTTAGCACTTATCGGGTAGATTATCTAAAATTTTACATAGAAAATAATTTATCAAAGATTAAATCAATTTTTTTCGAAACGCAAAAACATAATTTAGTGTCTTCTAGTGACTCTGCACATCGTATACATCCAATGGCTGGTCAAGGAGTTAATATGGGTTTTACTGACGTGCAATGTTTAACCGAGATATTAGAATCAGCTGTCCGTGATGGTGCTGATTACGGTATTTTGATAATCCTATGTCATTTGGAATCGACAGCATATTGATTCTTTTGCATTTTAGGATCTCTCATGTATTTAATTAATTATGAACGAAAACGTCAGTCAAATGTTATGGCAAAATTAATATCGATTGATAGTTTAAATCGTTTATATTCAACGAATTTTATCCCGCTTGTAGCTCTGAGAAGTGTGGGCTTATCCTTTGTTAATGAATTTCCAAGTTTTAAAGTAGGTTCTAACCAGAATACGATAGTGCTTATAAGATTTTATTTTAAGTTTTTTTGTTTTAGAATTTCTTCGCCAAACGAGCTGCATACGATGCTTGAAGTAAATCAAAGTTATATAAACAGAAACCTATCTTTTTTCTTAATTTTATATAAAAATGCTTTTTTGGCTATATGTCGAATAAAATATCTTTTGCAATTTACTTCGTTAAATACAGCGCTCCGCAAAAGTAGTGATACACCTGTAACTCAAGAATCATGGTAGTTACGAACTTAAAGTCTTCCTGAAGTAGTCATAGCTTTCATCGAATGCTGATCATCCCACCAGTATCGGGCTTTTTTAATAGATGGTTCGTGAGATATAAGCGTTTCATTTCTTTTCTGTAAAATGCTAATAACTTCTGATCTAAGAGAGATGAAAACGTTTTCCTTTTTTACCAAAATGTAGTCCTGATTCTCCTCTATCTACGATATGAATTTAAAGAGGTAGCTGTTAATAGTTATTGAAAGACAGCTATTTCACGATCGAGGTCCCTGAAAATGAGGCTCTAAGATATGAGGTCCTTTCTAAAAAAACTCATAACTCATTCTAGAAACATCATTCGCCTTTAAACTCTTCGACGACTGTAGGACTGTAGACTATCCAGTCAAAGTAGAAATGTTGACTATTGTGTATTTTCTAAAGTTTATTGAGAATGAGTATTCACCGTTGAAACATACGTAGAGGGACGAGGATGAGAAAATAAGAGTCACCCTTTCTGCTGTAGAATCTCCATTCAGTGTACATTACAATCATGAAAACCTATGAGAAGGAGAAACGCAGATAAAGCTTTTTCAGGAAAAATATACTCTCACTTTCCATCCTCGCCATTCCTCTGACATTGTGTTCTTTTCACTTTCCATAAATTTCGAAGCAAAATTAATGGCATATTTGAGATCAGCGAGAATATTTGAGACACTGGATTGAATGCCATACTTGAAACTGAAGTTTTGAACAAAAAGTTTTATTGAAACTTTTTCTCTTCGTGAAAAGTATCCTTGCGGAAAAAG